ACGGTTAGATTTAAAGTTAAACAAATTACTGGTCACTTATTCTATAGATTATAAAAAAATAAGCTATTTACTTTTCATCAAAATATCTAATTTATTTATCCAAAATAAGTATTTAAAATTTTAATAAAGAATTATAGATTTTTATTTATCTTGTTATTGAAATATTTATCATGTATTTATATACAATTGAAGCTATATTATATATACATGGAACTTCATTATCTTTTTAAATATAATTCTAAACTTTTATTATTTGTAGTAATAATAATAATAAAAAGCTTTCCATAACTAAATAAAATAATTCAATATAATTGAAAAAAAAATTTAATGAGTAATAAAAATCTGAGAAAACTTAGGATAAAACAATGACACTGAATATTAATATGTCGCCATTAGATTCTAATATTTAAAAATTGACCACTATATTAAATAATAAATAACAACTAGTTGCTGATTTTGTAAATAAAATATTCCATCTAATTTGTAAAAAAAAAAATCAAATATTTATTTTATTTTTATTTTGAAAAAAATTATTTCTTTTGCCAAAAGTAAAAATTTAGCTTTTTATAAATACAATGCAATTATAAATCTAATAAAAAAATATCACTCTAAAAAATTCTTTCTGGTCATCATTGATTGAGGGTTTGTTTTCATCTGTTCTCCCTAAACTATACGCTATATCATTTTATTAACCATATATTTCAATTTATCATTTAAAATCCTTCAACTATTATTAAAATAGAAGGATACTTTTTCTCATTAAATAATTAAAAAATCATATAAGTTAAATACTCCTCTAAACAAGTTAAGGCACCTAATTATCCTTTAGTCCAATTTTTTAATAGCATGAAGTGCAAAAAGTCATGTTGATTGTTGAGGAAATGAAATATTTTGTCAACCTAAAATGAAATTAAAGATTTGCAGTGTAATTAATTATACTTGGAAGCACATTAATTTTCCGTCAAAGGAGTACATGACAATGAGATTTGAATATGACTTAAACTTTTTTTTTTTTTTGAAAACTACCAGTATCCAGATCATATTATTAGAGATCGCTTAATTCTGCTCGGGGTTTAGTCACAGTTAAAATTTATCGCCCCTCTCTACAGGTGCATTTAGTATAGATCGAATTTGAAAGCTCTTCCCATATGCCCAACACGCATTGTCAACTGAGCCACAATCCATAGATAACATGAGTTAAACTGTTGCCTTACCATATATATACCATCTATATATGAGGCCCAAAAACCGGGTTTATATTTACTTTTACTGCTGAATTTTACAAGTCTAGATTTATTATTTTCCTAAACTGTCTCTAGTTTTCTCCCTTCCTTTTCTTCACCTATATCTCATTTCCCTCTAAATCAACAGTTGATTACAAGGTTCTAGAAGTTAATCACAAGAACCTTACTAATTTCACTTAGTTTGATAGATCCTAAATAAATACAGCATGGATACTTTTTTTGGAATAATAATAATAATTATATATTTTTAGCAATTCGTCTTACGAAATAAAAATATCAAGCCAAGCCTGTCAAGACCATTTTTTTTTTTTTCTAATGAGCAAGGCATGAAATTGTTTAGACAATAATTTAAAAGTGAATGGAATATTGAATCTAATAGGTAGGCCAATCAGATATGATTTGGTTGATCTTTACATTCGATCTTTTGAAAATTTTCACCAATGCGGTGAGTAAAGGGAAATGTTACCCTTATTTTATAACTCATAATGTTCTTGAACCTCTCAATGAATTAAAAAAAAAAAAAAAATAGAAGTACAAGCTCTCATCGCACTCCCTTCATATTGCTGCCACTATGATCATAATATACTAACTCATAATATGGTTCAAGGGCCGGTTAAGGTTCATGTGAATGTTAAAATCTGAATTTGAATCAGCGATTAACCGGCGGTTCCGGTCCGATTCGAATTGAAAATTTTCTATTTTTATTTTCAATTAGGATTTGGTTTGATCTTTAAATAGGTGCCGATCTTTTTAAAATGTTCACCAATGCGGTGAGTAAAGGAGAAATGTTACCCTTATTACGTTATAAGCTCCATAATGTCTTGTAACTCTCAATGAATTAAAAAAAAAAAAAAAAATAGAAGTACAAGCTCTCATCGCACCCTTCATATTGCTGCCACTTAGGATCATAATATTACTAAATCATAATATGGTTCAAGGCCGGTTAAGGGTTCATGTGAATTGTTAAAATCTGAATTTGAATCAGCGATTAACCGGCAGGTTCCGGTCCGATCAATTGAAAATTTTTCTATTTTTTATTTTCAAAATGATAATCACTTAGCCTTTTTATATATTTCTAAAAGTCTCAATAAAATATTTACTACATGATTATCTTTACTTAAGATTTTTTTAATACACTTTGCTTTTAAAAATTAAAAATCTAAAAGTAAAATGGTAAAAAAGAGAGAAATTATTTTAATCTAAACTTATATCTGTTTTTAATTTTCTTATATGTGTGTTACCTTATTTTTAAAATTCTGAATGGTAAAAAAAGAGAGAAATATTTAATCTAAACTTATATTGTTTTTAACTTTTTTTTTACCCTTTTAAATTGTTTACTAAGTTTAAAATTATATCATTTTGAAGAACTTTTCAAAATTTTCTTATAATTTATTTAATTAATAACATGTAAACAAAATAAAGTGATAATTTATTTGATTATTTTGTAAAAAATAATTAATTTTATTCTTATATGAGTATGAATATTCTAAAATTTATTCAAAATAAAATTTATCAATATTTTTTAAACTCATATTAATATTTTCAAAAGAAAGATGTAACGTTAGAACTGATTTTTTCTTTTTTTTGAAAACATATATCGGTCGGAACCGTCCGGCCGGAACCGAAACCGAAACCGAACCGAAACCTGCATTTCAAGGGCCAGTTCAAGTTCAATATTTTAAAAATTTTGAATCATTGGTTCCATGAACCGGAACCAGCGATTCAATGAATCGGCCATGCCTAGCAACAGGACTTTGTTTATTTATGAGCTCTTTCTGTTAAGAATTTCACATCATCTCAATATCAAATCCCAAAGAGCATGTAACGGTGGCAAGTTAGTCAGTTAATTAATTTTCTTTTTCAATTTATTAAAGATTTTTATGGGCTGAAATAACACATTGTAGTTGAGATGACTCAAACTCAAGACGTTCCACTCCTCATATAAGTAAGAAGACCAACCAGATCACCATCTGATTAACAGTTAGTTAATTAGTTAGTACTAACATTTTAGGATTGGTTTGCTCAAACTCAAGTAAGCTCACATCACATTTTCAAATAGTGTTCTTCGGTTAGTATTAATTGGATGTGAAAGTTGTCTTTTTGTTTTGTCGCATTAAATTCTTTAAAAAATAATAAAACTCTATTTTTGGTTAGTAATTACAAAGCGTTTTATTAAATATATTTTCATTTATATCTTTTCAATTATAGATCCAAATGTTCAATTTTCATGCAATGAGTTGAGAATAATTAATATGAAAACTTTTAAGACTATACGAATTTTCATTTATTTGGTGAATATCCTTGTACTAAAAGGAAACATCTATCCACTAGTACTAAAGACAGCTTAATTAGTACTAATTAGAATGCAACACTTTATGGTAAGAAGAATCAGCATTTCGAGAAGCACTTTAAATGTAATAAGCTTTCCAATGTGAAGAAGGATTAGTCTTTATCATATCTTCGGTAAGTAATAAAAAAGAAAGAAAAGAACTACCACAACATTGTTTTAGCATATTTAGCTTCCATTGAATATATATATAGGACAGGCTGTGTGTGCCAGTCTAGCTCGATACCTTCCAACTTAGATTTTGCTAAATCCAACTCATGATACAATAGATCGGGTAAGAAGATGTCCAGATTATCGAGAACGCACTTTAAATGTAATAAGCTTTCCAATGTGAAGAAGGGATTAGTCTTTATTCAATAGCTTTCAACGTGTTGTTAGAGTTAATTACAAAAAAGAAAGAAAAGAACTTACCACAACATTGTTAAGCAAATTTAGCTTCCATTGAATATATATATATTATATATATATATATATATATATATATATATATATATATATAATATGTAAACTAAGTAATATCTATTCTCATCATAATTTATTTATACTCACATGAATTTATGATTATATATCGTATATTAAATAAGAAGCTTGTTCTCTAATTTTTTTAAATACTGTTACATTTAATATATATAAATAGAGCTTTCTCTAATTTTTTATAATTGTTGACATAATTTCAAGATTTTCCATCTGTCTTCTCAAAGGTTTGAATCTTGAACGTTTCTCTTTAATGTTTAACTGGTGCAATGCAAGGAAATTTTTGAAGACGTCATAGGAAGAATTTTCAAAGAGTCAACAAAACCCTACAAACATTCATGCTGTATACAAGAAAAAAAATGAAACTTGCTATTTGATTATTTAGTTGGAAAACATGCAAGTGAGAGCTATGTTCTCCGTACACTTATGACCAAAAATGAAAGAAAAAGCAATATTCATATGTAGGCATTCACAACTAAACATATTATTATTAGACTAGTTTGATGACTATAAGACTACACAAACAGAACGAAACGTATATGAAGGGGTCAAGAAAATTTCCAAGTACAAAACAGATGTTAGGAGTGGTCAAGGCATTTATTTTAAAAAAATTTTTCCAGCAGCCGTCAAAATCAGAACACGGTTTGTGTTAGTAATAATATAAATATTCAACCTTTTCACATACATTAACAACAAAAGAATTCCTCTTCAAAATTCAACTGAAAAAGTAAAATAAGCATATTCTTCACTCTTCTCTTTTATATATAAGGCAAAGCTAGCACATTCCTCTCCTGCAAGTGCTTAATATAGAATAAGCCAGAGAAAAGCAAACAAATACTATAAACTATACACATCCCTTAACTATTTTTGTAACCATGAATCGATCATCATCGTACATAGTGAAATTCCAACGCCAATTTCTTAGCCAAACCCAGATGATGAATCGCGTTATCAAACCATGCGATGTGTTCATTAATCATCGAGGGATTGATACAAAACGCACTGTCGTTTCTTTGCTTTATGATCATCTTTCTAGGTTTAACCTATGTCCTTTCTTGGACAACAAGAATATGAAACCAGGCGATAAGTTGTTTGAAAATATTAATAGAGCAATCAAGCAATGTGAGGTTGGTGTAACAGTTTTTTCTCCACGTTACTGTGAGTCATATTTTTGTCTTCATGAGCTAGCTTTGATAATGGAGTCCAAGAAAAAAGTTATTCCTATATTTTGTGACATTAAGCCTTCGCAACTTCGCATTGTCAACAAAGGACTGTGTACAGAAGAGGAGATTCATAGGTTTAATTGGGCTCTTGAAGAGGCAAAGCACACCGTAGGGCTAACGTTCGATTCATTAAAAGGGTAAGAAATAAGATCAAGCACTCTCAGATTTGCCTTCCTAGTTTCTTATTTCTTTTGGGTTTTGTTTTTGAATGCTTTATATATATATATATATATATATAGCTATTTGAGTAACTTTTTATAAAATATTAAAAATTACATGTTACTAGGATTAATTTTTTATAAAACAATACTTTAATCTCTGAAAATTTAGTTCAAATGCAATTTTACCTAACACTATAAAAAATTAACGCGTAGTCAATATACTAAAAACTACTTTAAAAGCTATTGCTAAACACAGTCAACATTACTAGGACCAATGCCTTTGTTTTTCGATGTTGTATATATGTATAACAAATACAAATTAAGAATACTAGAGTTAGCTGCATTAGTATAACTCACAATTTTAGATGAATTAATTTTCAGCTAATGGTTTAATAGTACGATAAAGTCTTTTTACTAGGACCTGATTAATTTTCGACCATAAGTTAGGAATACTAGAGTCTTTTTTAATTTTCAGTGGATTCAACCCATCTCCTTAAATTTAATCAGGTAGCTTTGATGCATTTGACTTTAATTGCTTGTTCAAACTTATAACTGATATATGGACCGACTAACATATATCTAGATATGAAGTTCTGATGTCGTATATATTAAATTCTATAAGTCCAAACAATATAAATTTATAAGTGAATGTTAAATCAATTTCAGTAAAACTAAATAGACTCGTGTGCATTGATGCATGCATGTGCTTATGTAAGCTTACTAATTAATCTATATTTATGTATTTATAATAGTGACTTTATTTTAAGAAAAAGAAGTTTTTATATATTTCTTTATGTTCTTCCTAATTGTACTATGTTTTGGTTGACAGGAACTGGTCGGAAGTGGTGACGAGTGCTTCAGATATTATAATCAAAAGCTTAATTGAGATCGAGAATGAAAAACAAAAGCAGCGTCGAAAGATTTCAATGCCTTATTAATTCCAAAAACTTCATTTTCGATTTTCATGCATTAATTAATTGTTTAATTACTACTAATAAACATTGTCAAATCAATTCGTTTGTTTATTCATTCTTTTTATGTTTATGTTTGTATTTTTATTCGTAATAAAAGAAATAATCCAATGGGCTTTTTGGCATTGTAATAAATATGCAGATATGTAGCTCAATAAGCTCGCTTTGTATTATCAATGATTAATTTGATTTCTTCCATTTGTTGGTGTAATAAAAGATGTATAGTTTTTTTTTTTTTTTTTTTTCACGGGAAAGCTCGATAGGTCGAAATAATCCAATGGGCTTTTTGGCATTGTAATAAATATGCAGATATGTAGCTCAATAAGCTAGCTTTGTTTTGAAGAATATTATCAATGATTAATTTGATTTCTTCCATTTGTTGGTGTAATAAAAGATGTATAGTTTTTTTTTCATGGGGAGGCTCGATGGGTCGAAGTGACAATGCGAGCTGTATAATAGATGTAGCTCTCCCTTGAATTCACAAAATTGATAAAAACACTTATGGTCGAGAAAATTTGAATTCGAGACATCTTACTCTTCACATATTTGAGAAAACCAAATCCAACGATACATGATTGACATATTTTTTCTTTTCACTAATAAATAGTAGCTTGGAGAATGCTTGTTATTCTCCGTAACGAAGGACCTTATATTGGCTGCAAATGTCAGGGACTTCTCCGTAATTTCTCCAAACAATAGCAATATTAATCAAATTTTAAGAATTTAATAGTAATTTCTGAAAAGAAAAATCAACTATAATTTGAGAAAATTTAAAAAGAGAAAAAAAGAAAATAAATTTTTATGGAATGGGGAAATAATAATTTTATATTGAGATTTTCAATATAATATTATTTTTTTAAAATAATCAATCAAACGATAATGCTAAGCAAATTCCAATTTCACTTTATTAACAACTTTTTCTTACTAAATTACAAAGAAAAAGAGATAAAAACTTCTTTTAGAAAAGAAAAGAAAAATAATACCAAAGAAACTTCAACATGCAACCTCTTACATATGAATTTTATTTCATCTAATCTAACTAATCTAAGTAGTTACTTAACTAAACCATGGTTAATAATGAACCATGTATGTACATCTTCTTCTCTTCTCTATTCTCTGGTTAATTAGAATATAAGAAAAGAAGAAGAAGAAGACGAAGAAGAAGAAGAAGGAAGACAAGTAGAAAGATCAAAAGAAAATAATCCTCCTCCAAATAATCCTCTAATGGAGAAACCCAAAACTTGAATAATCTCTGCTGCATATCTCATCAACGATGGCCTTAGAGACACTGCCCAAAGACCCACCATTGCCATTACTATTTCTGCTCCAAAGCTCATTCCTAATTAGTTTCTTTCTATGTCTTTCTCTTTTACATTTTTGTGAAACAGGATTTTAAGAAATATGGTGGGGAACATTAAGGTTCCTGGCTGCACCAGACAATTTTTCACTGGTAAATGAAATGGCTTTATCTACAACAACAACAACAACCACCAACCACCAGCAGTCCATTCTCAACTACCAGTCTTTGATTTTTTTTTTTTTCAAAAAAAAAAAAAAAAAAAAAACTTTCTTTTTATATGAGCGAAAGAAAATAGAAAAATTAATAATGACTTTCAGAAGATTTAAAACTTTGTTCCAACATGCAACCTTTTAACTTACATTGTGAATTTTTAAAATTATTTCATCTATGTAGATAATACTATAACTAATCTAAGTAGTTTTAGCTTAACTAAAATCCTTGGTTTGACTGGTTAATAAATGAACCATTGTATGTACATCTTCTTTCTCTTCTCTAGTTCTCTGGTTTAATTAGAATATAAGAAAAGAAGAAGAAGAAGAAGACGAAGAAGAAGAAGAAGGAAGGACAAGTAGAAAGATCAAAAGAAATATCCTCCTCCAAATAAATCCTCTTAATGGAGAAAACCCAAAACGGTGAATAATCTCTGCTGCATATCTCAACTCCCGAACACGTTGGTCACTTATAGAGGGATCAACTGCATCTTTAAGGACCCCACCATTGCCCATTACTAATAGGAAACTTTCTGCTTCCAAAGCTCATTTCCTATTAGTCTTTTGCTTTTCTATGTCTTTTCTCTTTGTTTACCCATATTTTGGAGTGAAACTAGTATTTTGTATAGTAGATTATTGTTGGTGCGGTTTAAGGAAGACATTTAGAATATCCTAGGACTAGCACTTCAGTACAGATTTGTCACTGCTTGTAAATGTACATGATAGCTATTTTTTATCTAATACAACAACAAACAGACAACCTAAACAATATCAGAAACCAGACTCAAGTCCGTTTCTCGAACTACCAGTCTTTGAATTTTTAAATAGTTATTTTTTTTCAAAAGAAAAAAAAAAAAAAAGAAAAAAAGAAAACACACAGTGTATTTTTCTCAGGTGATGTTTTTATGATATAGATTGAGGTTGATGAATATTATTAAACTTTATTACCTATCCCACTTAAACGTCGGTTCCAAAATAAATAATAATAGTATTTTTTTATTTAATAAAAATCAAAAAATTATTAAAATTTCTTCTTTTGAACCGTTAAAGCGCTACAAAAAAAAAAAAAAAAAAGAAAAAAGAAAAACAGTGTATTTTCTCATATGTTTTTATGATATAGATTGAGGTTGATGCTATTATTAACTTATTACCTATCCCACTTAAACGTCGTTCAAATAATAAATAATAATTTTTTTTTAATAAAAAAAATCAAAAATTATTAATTCTTTTGAACCGTAAAGCGTAAAAATTTTAATAAATAAAAATATTTATTTATCACATGAGAAATAGAATAAACTCAACCATTAAATTTATGCGTCGTAATAAGATTGAGAGGACTATATAAGGAATGTATTAAGATTGAGAGGACTATATAAGAATGTATAACGGATTGATTGGATTTCAAACTGATTTGATTAAAAAAAAAAAAATTGAAGCATCTTATTTTTAAACTGAACTAGAATTAAATGACATTCCGATATAAATCAAATCCAATTGGTAGGTCCGATTGATATTTGCCGACCGGCGATGTGATATAGGGAGGATTGACAGCCCATGTTTTAGAAGCTACAAAAGGCCTATCAAGGCGGACCATTAAGATAACGTATTATTTATGTTCCGTTTAAGGTTGCACCTCTAAGTAGACCAACTCGTTTGATACTCGACATCGTAGAAATAAAAAGGCCCAACTCAAAAAAATAGTAATTTTTTTATATTTTATTGAAAAATTATTTAAAAAGTCGAAAGCTAGGAAAGAAAACATTATTTAACTAACAAAAAGTTTGATTTAAAAAATTTTAGAATTAGAAAAATATTTATTGTTTTTATACCATAAATTGGCTTATTTCTTTACTAATCGCCGTTTAAACACACACTCTATATATATAATTGAAAATTTTTAAACTTATAATTATTTGTTGAATCTCAAAACTTTGAAGCTATCTAAACCAATGGTTGCTTTAGTAAGATAGTGAGCACCCGTATTCGCTTGCCTTCTCACCCATCCGATCTTAATAGCCTTACAATCTGAAACTAATAAATCAAATTTAGAGTTATCAGAACTTAAGGACTTAAGAGTAAAAACTAACTGTTGACAATTTGAAAAAATAGAGCCATGTAACGTGTGAACGTGTAAGAATATTTGGTAGTAAGCTGATAATTATATTTGCTGATGCTATATGTACATGAAAGCGTGTAAGAATATCACCTTTAGCAATTATAATACTGAGAAGAAGTTAAATTATTTTCAACTAATTTTCTGTCGGTGGGAAAACAGGGTTGGCATATAAAAAAAAAAGAGAGTTGTGACTTATGTTTATTAGTGTTTCTTTTAATTTAACAGCAATTTATCAATTTATAAATATATTATATAAAATTTTATTAAATATGTCTATAATTCCTTTAAAATCCAATATTGAATACCATACTTAATTCGTATTTTTTTTATTTTAAAATTTAAATTTACATTATGTATTTCAATTTTAAGTTCAAAATATATCCAAACAATTATGGAAAAAAAAAAAATATTAGATTGCAGTGGACTATTATAATAAAGCAACTGTGCAACGTGCAGGCGTTTGTCTAGTTATATTAAATCCTAAAAGATTATTATTGCAATGAACTGGCCTATTACTAGGTTATGAATTTAGTGCTGATACAATATTTGTTTAGATAAAGACTATGACTTTTTTCATGGATTAAACCGATGAAATTAAAAATTTTATGAAAATGAAGGTATTTTTAATCATACACTGAGAAAAAAATGATAAAATAGAAATAATTTTTAAAAATTCTTATTTCATTATAAGTGGAAACATGAACCTGGTTTAGATAAGTATTTTTCATTCGAAAGTATGAAAAATAAAAATAATATTTTTTATGATAATATTTTTAAAAAATGAAGAAGAAATATTATATTTGAGCACTTAAATCTAAAAGTGAATTAAAAATCTATGTCATAATTTATGGTTGGTAGACCCTGTATTTCTCCATTAGCAGCCACCAAGATTCTGATGTGGACGTGAAAATCATATGATTTTTAAATTTATGCAAGTATTCCAATTTGTCCAAAAGATGGAATATAATGCAAAATTGAAGCGATAAAATAATAACATGGATTACCCTAATATATATTCTTTTGGGGTGAAATTATATCTGTAATATATATGAATTTCCTTAATAATTCTTTGGTACATCCTTTAAAGACTTAATTCCAGAAAATTGATTATTTGAAAACAGAAAACCTTACCACCACGTAATTCTTTGGTACATTTTGAAATTTATCAATTTCTTGAATTATGGTATTTTTTTTCCTCAACTAAATAAAAAATTTAACAAATCTACATACGTTTAAATTTCATTAATCCGAACAATCTCTACAGAATTTGAAAAGAAAATTAAAAATTACTTGAGTATACTTTTTGTTAATGTTAATATATTGAAAAAAAAAATTATTTTCTGCTGTCAACTTTTTTTTTTTTCCATATAAATATCATCCTCCTACAAGGATCTTCTTATAGAAAAAGATTATTATTCTTTAGGTAGAAAATTAATAATAAGATAAGAAATAAAACAAAAAAATAATGTTGAGAAAGATATAATGATGTGTACTCCAAAATGCCCTCAAGAGGTTCAATGCAATGGATTCTGTGCATTAAACCTTTCAACCTCTGAATCAATTAGAGAAGGATATTCTAATGTCTCAAGTCTCAATCTGTGCATTAAAGTATGGACACTATCAGGTCTTTGTCTGTGCATTTAAAAATTGCCATTGTAACGGAAACAAGAGGGAAAACTGTGAACGCTAATTAACTAAAACCCATCTCTCTTGCATGAACCCCATTTCCGCAGCTTCTTATTCTTCTTATTTCTTGACAAGCAACAGCCAGTGACGAATATTAATTTATTTCTCTTTCGATCATATTTTGATTTAAGACTAAGAGAATTTCGGTTTTTTCTAAATTTACTTTGGGAGCAGAAGGAGATGGAGGACATAGAAGCACAAATGACTGAGAAAAAAGAACGTGAAGCAGCAACTATTTTGAAGAAAGCCAATAGTCCAGTCACTTTGAAGGTCTTTTCTTTTCTTTTTTTTCATTGAATTTATTTACTGGGATTTTCTTATTATATGTGAATATGAGCATATAATTTAACTTTTTATTTATTAATCACTTAAAAATTTCATAAAATTAAAAGGAATATTTTCTTTCATATTGTAAAATAAGATGCAAGTGTGATATTCATAATAAATTTTATGAAAATTTATAAAATTCATTTATGCCAAACAAATAACTTTTGCTTATTCAAGTTTTCTCCATATATGCATAAGAATTAGTTAAATAAATGTGAAAATTTTTTTCTGAAAGAAAAAGTGGACATTTAACCAGTCCATTTTGTATATAAACATAGAGTTTTTAATTTTTTTAGATCATTAATTAATTTTTGTTATTTATTATTTTGACAGTTTGAAGATGTCGTCTACAAAGTTGAACCTACCAAAAAAGGATTATGTCAAAAGGGCATAATTAAAAAGGAAGAGAAAGTTATTTTAAAGGGAATCACAGGTTTTGTTCTACCAGGTGAAATGTTAGCCATGTTAGGTCCATCAGGTTGTGGCAAAACGACACTATTAACAGCTTTAGGAGGGAAACTAATAGATGGAAAACTTGAAGGAACTATAACTTACAATGGCAAGCCCTTTTCTAATGTTATGAAAAGAAATTCTGGTTTTGTTACTCAACATGATATTCTCTATCCTCACTTGACTGTGACTGAAACCCTAGTTTTCACTGCCTTTCTTAGATTACCTAATAGTTTAACAAAAGAAGAGAAAATTATGCATGCAGAAGCTGTTATTACTCAACTAGGTTTAGTTAAGTGCAAGAATACTATAATAGGTGGGCCATTCTTGAGAGGAGTTTCAGGGGGTGAAAGGAAAAGGGTTAGTATAGGTCAAGAACTGCTAGTGAATCCTAGTTTGCTTTTCTTGGATGAACCAACTTCTGGTCTTGATTCTACAACTGCTCAAAGAATTGTGTCTTCTGTTTGGGAACTAGCAAAAGGAGGAAGAACAGTTGTGATGACAATACACCAGCCTTCAAGTAGGCTTTTTTACATGTTTGACAAGATTTTGTTGCTGTCTGAAGGAAATTCTTTGTATTTTGGGAATGGATCAAAAGCTATGGATTATTTTCATAGTATTGGTTATGCTCCTTCAGTTACTATGAATCCTTCAGAGTTTCTTTTGGATCTTGCAAATGGCAAGTGATGTACATAGGTTGCTTTATTTCTTTCTCTCTTTCTTTTCCAATTTTTTTTTTAGGATTAAATTCAGTCTCAAATGTTTAATCTAATTCATTAGTTAAATTTGCTTACCTTAAATTGACTAGAATGGACATGGTAACAACTGATTTATATAGCCTACCCCAACTCATTTAAGACAGACACTTATGGTTCTACAAAATTCGATATTTAATATTTATTTTCTCATGTTCATGTGATATAGGATTAGCATCACAGAGTGATGCAGGCAACGCCCAGGCCAAGGTCAAGCAGACTCTAGTTTCTGCTTATAAGAACAATCTTGCAAACAAATTGAAGGCAGAGATTGAAGCTGCTGATAATCGTCACCTTCAAGATGGATTAACTAATAAGCAGTATTCAGAGTGGCCTATAACTTGGTGGCAACAGTTTCAAATCCTGTTTAGAAGAGGAATTAAAGAAAGGAAGCATAAGTCTTTTTCAGGCCGCAGGATAGTGCAGGTTTTAGTAATGTCCTTGCTTTCTGGTTTACTATGGTGGCAATCTGATACTTCTCACTTGCAAGATCAGGTAATGACAATTAAGATTTGTTTATCACTGCTGTTAGACTACTTAACTTTTAACAAACTATTTTTGAACCCTGTAGAGCTAAACAAACTCTAATTTTGTTTCTTCTCTAATATGAGTTAATTTTCTTTGAGAAGGCCTAATGTTTAAGGTCATGATATGCAGATAGGGCTCCTCTTCTTTTGCACTGGATTCTGGGGTTTCATCCCTTTATATCAAGCAATCTTCACCTTTCCTACAGAACGAAGGATGCTAGCGAAAGAACGATCTTCAGGCACGTATAGACTATCATCATATTTCATATCAAGAATGGCCGGTGATCTTCCAATGGAGCTACTCCTTCCAACAATATTTGTCACCATAACCTATTGGATGGCAGGGCTAAAACCCACACCACAAAATTTCTTGCACACCTTATTTGTTCTCTTGTTTAACGTCTTATTATGGCAAAGCCTAGGCCTTGCTCTTGGTGCTCTGATAATGAACCAAAAATCAGCTACTATACTAGGTTCAATCATTAATCTATCCTTTCAATTAGCTGGAGGATATTTTATTAGACAAGTTCCTTTTTTTATTGCATGGATTAAGTACATTTCTATTAGCCGATACACATACAAGCTATTGTTGGGATCTCAGTACAAGCCTAGTGAGACTTACCCATGTGGAGATGGTGTTTGTTCAATTAGAAACTATCCTTCAATAAAGATAGTGGGGCTTGATGGGCAGCTTCTCTCTGCTTTTGCTTTGGGGATTATGTTTTTGGGTTATAGGCTCATTGCTTATCTTGCTCTTATGAGGATTGGAGCGACTAGAAAGTAGAGAAGAAGTGCCATTTATTATATTTGTACAATGTTAATTGAATTATAGAATCCTATTAAATATTCTAAATATTTTTTTTATTCGAATTTTGCTGGGTTTAGAATAATATTTAAATAAAATTTTTGATAATAATACTACTCCAAATTTTAAATTTCTGATTATTTAAATAAAATTATTCTAAATATATAATCCACATCGGCTAATTCAACTCCCAGTTGATTTCATAGAATTACTTAATTTTTCCATTACATGACCAGTCAGGTTCAGACTTGCAAATAATTAGTTGTCCAACCAAAAACAATTAATTAACGTAAGTGAATTTAGTCGAGCACTAATGTCAAGTTCAGACCAAATCAAACCCAAAAACACTTCTGTGGCCGTAATTTCGCCGGAATCAATGACGGAAAGAGAAAATGGATTATTGAGCTTCGATTTAGCCAAACGACCGAGCTTCTGTCATCAGTCGGACCAGCGTAGCGAGGAAAGTTGCCTGATGTGGTTGTTTCGCCGGACACCGCAGCGCGTGGCGACGGAAGCGGTGGTTTCTGGTGGCTGGCGTATGTTGAGTTCCAGCTGTTCTGTTCGACTTTGTCAGTTTTATGAAACATGTTCTGAATATGTATTTCACTTCGGTAAGTCCTCATCTGGCTTATTCATTCAATGAATGTTAATTATGGAAGTATTTCTGTTTAATCTTGTTAAATAATTTTAAATATATATACTTTTTCTTTTCCATCTGTTGTACGCTATTGGAGTAAGGGATTATGTGATAAAGTTTTAGTTGCTTGTGTTGATGAGGTGATGCTCATGGAGCATCATCTATTATCAGATATGTTGGAATACTATTTGACATTTGATAAAATTTGAAATTTTAGTCTTTCTGTAGTCTTTAGGTCAATCTAATCTTTGTATTATATGAAAAAGGAAATGGAGGATATGTTCTTTGTAATAAGTGACATCTTGTCCATGAGAATGCATGTATTATTGTGTGAATGTGTACATATAATGAATTCGTAAAAGCTAATAGTATTTTTTGAAAAAGGATATATTGATTTATATAATGAAGAGGCACATTTACAAGTGGACTATTCATTAAGCTTTATTATCTTGAGATGGCAATAATAAAGATATGTTTAAGAATTCCGGGGAAGTACAGGGGATGTTCTTTGCTCTGAATAGCCATGAGTTTAACCAGGATATGCTCCCTAGAGAGGGGTAGCGTGGATGTTCTCCCCTGTTGATGGATGGAAGGATAAGCTCGCTATTGAGAGATGTGAGGATATTGCTGGACGTAAAGATGCTGTCTTCATAGGAAGATGCAAAGATAACTGCTTCCAGTGGAGGATGTGAGGGTATGTGCTCTTGGATAGTAAGGTGAAATTACATTTTAAAGTTTTTTATTCTAGCAAGGTGCAAGAAATAACTTCTGGAGCTCTGTTTTACTACTAGTTGAATTAATGATTTTTTTTTTATTTATTAATTGGTGTATCAATTTATTTGATTAGTGTGAGATACAACTTATGGATAATATGAAGAAAGGATGCATTTACAGTAGCTTACAGAAAAATAAAAATAAAAAGATTTATAAATTATGATGTTAGAATAAGAGGAGGCTTGTTTTATTTTTATTTTTTACCCATATTGTCATCTGTTGCTCCATTTACAAGTAGCTGTATTCATTCTCTATCTCTCTCCCCTTTCTGGTGCTGATTTCCTTTTAATGTGCAGGCTATGTATGTCCACAGTTTCATAGTTGTCTCTTCAACATAAATGGCACCTATTCATACAGAAATGACTATTCATAAAACGAACACAACTATTCATCAACAGACGATACTTTTCTCAGTTTGTCTTTCCCTCATTTTCTTCCTCCAATTCCAAATTCCCAACTTAACATGCAAGCTATTATAACACTTGATGTGAGGGTAGAACGTGCATTGTTGATGTAGTTATTTAGCAGTGGCAGGATTTCAATTAGTTGTAGTTTCTGGTGGTTCTGTAACAAGATTCAGTAAGTCTAAATAGTGAAATTTGAGGAGAAGTCCACCCAGGGAGGAGTTGGGTGTGACAGTATCTGTTCTTATATACACATACTTCTGCATTTTGATGGTTCAAATTTAAGGATAGCTGCCCATTAATATATTGGTCTAGTATTTAAGTAGTTAAAGCTGAAGTGCCCTAAAAAGGTCATAGAGTTCCTACTAATGTTGGGGCATTATTCTAGTTATTTCTGATTGTTTATTGATTCGTTTGCTTACTTGCCTTGTGGTAACATACTTTAATAACATGCAGTAAAATACAACAAATGATTTCTGCCATGTTGTGCTAACAATAAAAGAAAGTTGACTTTGTCTCTTTAATGTTTTGGATCCTCTTAGGTGTTTGATTTACTTTTAATTCCAAATGCACCCTCACTAGTGGCTTTAAGACAACAATTTGATATTATTGATACAATAGTACAAAACATTACCAATAAATTTTAATGAGATTACCGCATTTTTCTTTTCAATTAATTTTTGCCACTCTTAATTGATTTTCTTGCACTTCTTATTAATGAGTTGGATAGTTTTGCGACTTTTGTCAATATATGGATATTTAACCAATTTTGGATACTTTCAAGTGTCTGATTTACTTTCAATTCCAAATGCATGCTCACTAGTTGCTGTAAGGCAACCTTTCGACCTCATTGTGCACTTTTTACAAGTGGTACTTGTAAAATCAATGAGAGTGCCACATTTCCTCTTCAGTTAATGTATTACACTTTTTAGGTTTTTTTGCACTTTATTATTAATCAATAAAAAAGGTTCAATGAATTTGTTCATACATTTCAATCTAAATTTGTTCGAAAGAATCATAAAGAAACAAGAGAAAAAGGGAGACTGTAAAGTGAGAGGTTTTGATCAGTAAGAAATATTTTAGTCTCTGAAAGAGAAGTTCAGTTCTTTTTTTTCTAAAGCATAAAGAGATGGAGGACATAGAAGCAGAATCTATTAAGAAGGAAGAACATGAAGCTGTAGCATCCATCTTCCAGAAAGCCAATCGTCCTGTTACTTTGAAGGTATAAATTAATTATTTTTTCTTTTTCTGTTCTTTTTTTTTTTTTTTTTTTTTTTAACAATGATTCAGTAAGTCTAGAATAGTTGCGAATAATTTGAGGCAGAGCGTCCAAGCCAAAGGGTGTGAGTCTTTGCGGGTGTGACAGTTAATTTTCTCTTTCTTATTTATCACATGACTGTATATTTCTGCGAATTTTTGATGGTTCTGAAATTTAAGGATTAGCTGCCATTTGACATTGATATTGGTCCCTAGTATTTAAGTATTGGTTCAACATGCTGAAGTGCCTCTAAATATGGTGCATTATAGAGTTCCTACTTAATCGATTAGGCGCATTCTATTCTAGTTATTTCTGATTGTTTACTTGATTTCGACTTTGCTTACCTTGTCTCTTTGATGAGTCCACACCTATATCTTATTATATAACATGCCAGCTTATAAAAATACAGTAACACAATGATTTCTCTCGCCACTGTTGTGCTACAATAATGAAAGTTTGGACTTTTGTCTCTTTAACTGTTTCTGAGCATCCTCATTATGTGTAGTTGATTTACTCGATTTAATTCCAATGCTACCCTCTAACTAGTGGCTTTCTATACGATTAACTTATTATTTATATTATTGAATTCACTATAGTGTATCTAGAAACATTACCCAAATAAATTTTAAATGAGATTCCTTTGCGATTTTTTTCTTTTCTAATTAATTTTTTGCCACCATTAATCTTGATTTTCTTGCACTTCTTATTTTAGATGGATGTTGGGATACGGTTTTTGCTGACTTTCATGTCAATATATGGAATATTTCAAACCAAATATTTTGGAGTACTTTCAGTGTCCTAGATTTATCTTTCTAATTCCATAATGGCATGCGCACTAGTTGCTGTAAGGCAACTGTGTCACCTCATTTGCACTTTTTACAAAGTGGTATCTGTAAAATCAATTGAGAGTGCCGCGACATTTCCTCTTCATTACATTGGTTATGTACACTTTTTACGGGTTTTTTGCACTTTATTATTTAATTCATAAAGGTTCCAATGGACATTTGTTCTATACATTTCAAATCTAGAATTTGTTGCGATAAGAAATTCAATAAAGAACAAAGAGAATAAGGGAGGAACTGTAAAGTGAGAGGGTTTGAATCAGTTAAACGAAATATTTTATGTCTTCTGAAAGTAGCAAGTTTCTAGTCTTTTTTTCTCTATAACGGCATATAAGAGAGATTGGAGGACAATAAGAAGTCATGAAGGATTACCTATACTAATGGAAAGATAGCGAAGTTAGAATCAATGAAGCTCATAGTTAGTCATCCATCTTTTCTTTTCTTAGAATGCACGAATTAATCGTCACCTAGTATATGAACTGTGATAGTGAGGCTCATTAAGAGCCAATAGATTATATCTATCACCTATTCTTACCATTTTCTCGAATTCTAATGTTTTTTTATTATTTGTCAGTCAATTACCTTTAGTACATAATTTTTAGTATCTGGACACTGAGATAAGGAGACAGGTAGATGAAAGTAAACAGCCATCTAATGAATTAAAAGGGTCACACTATGAGAGAATATCAAGATACAGATTTTGAAAGGTAGCAACCTCTAACTTCCATGTCTTAGCTTCGCTTAATAGCGTTGATAAAATTGTAGTGCTATATGATTATAAAGGTAAAAGAAGGGCTTAACTGAATTATTTGATGTATTCTGTATATGATCGTATATGGGAATATGATTTTATATTTGTTATGGTGATGTTTATTTATTTTCACCGATGTAATATGTACATTGTTAAGTATTAACGTATTCTAGTTTATAAAGTACACACCCACGCATTTAGCTACATATTTTGCTGAATATATATTCATGAGAGGTCCCCAGTTATAACCTTTTATAGGAGTGGTACGTAGCTATAGTGTCTATCCTTAAGTCAGTATCGAATAGTTCCGATATATTAGTAAAATTGATAACACACGCTTATCGAGTCTGTTCAATTGAGTATAGGGATCAGGTAGTCTAACTGAATGATAGATAATGGATGTTAATAATAGTATATAATAGGGCCGAATGGAGTTATCTTAAGAAACAGGTTAATGTGAGGGTGAGTGCGTTCTTATGATCAGAGAGTCCAGCCCTATAGGTGTGTAGATGAGTCTCGTGTAAAAGACCATAAGAAGTGTATGGATCAAAAGGGCGGTTGAAAATCAAGAAGAAACAGGAGTCGATATTGAAAGTCAGGGATGCACAGGCGATGCCGTTGCTAAGCCAGGTAGTAATCGCTGTAGCACATGTGGAGATAGAGCCTCAGTCAGGTTAAGTCGGACAGAAAATCTACATTATTGAAGTTCAGCTAGGATGGCCGTAAGTAAACTTGTTTGGAACGCAATTGACTTGCTAAACCGGATTCACTTACAGTGACGCCACTAGTACGGATACACGGCCCCAAGGTCAGCCTCTTCTCGGTAGGAATTGGCATTGAGGACAGAGCGATAGTATTAGAAGCATTAGTTAGGAGGTTGGTTGAGGCTCCGCATAGTTACTGACTGCTCTTTAGCGCTGAGCATGGCGCAGACGGATCGGAACTTAAGAGATCTGGGTGATCTTGTTTAGAGAGAATTAGTTGAGTTCGAGTGCTCCGCGTTAGCCATCAAGCACTCTAGAAAAGTGACTTGTCCCTAATGGAGTGGCAGAGGGTCTATCACCAGATCCATAGGCAAGGCCACGAAGGGAAGGCCAATTGAGGACAGCGGAAGGAAAAGGGTCAGAATAATCGGCGGAAGAGCTACTAGGTAGGCAGGTAGCGCAGCGTCGAGGGTTTATAATCTTAGCATGCTGACAGGGAGACAGAGCAGGAAGTTGCTGTCCAGTTAATTGGTAAATAGTGTCAAGATGAGGATATTATCTTACTCCTTATTATTGGAGATTAGCAAGTCCAGATTTACTTGCAGTAGAGGTGTGTCTTTCAGCGGGGATCTGAGAAATATCGAGAAGAATAGGGGCCTTAGATATAGTCATATAGAACTATCAATAATAGTAAACCCCAGTTCAAGCGTTAGTTGTCATTTTTCTTCGGCATGGAAACCGTACTGTAACACACCAGGCTTCATTGATTCACAACATATGTTAACAGTTGCGTACTAATGAGAGATTGTGTTCTTCGCACGAGAGATTCTGGACTGGAGACATTAAGAAGTCGTGAAAAGGTAGGACATGATAGTTGATGGGACTGTGATCGCGGACACCTAATATATATATATTTTACAGTTTGAGGATGTGGTATACAAGGTTGTGTCCTCTAAACAAAAGTTATGTCAAAAGGGGTTGAAACAAGAAGAAAGAGTGATCTTAAAGGGGATCACAGGCATGGTTCTACCAGGTGAAATGCTTGCCATGTTGGGCCCATCAGGTAGTGGCAAAACTACATTATTGACAGCTTTAGGAGGCAAACTTGGTGGAAAACTTGAAGGAACTATAACGTACAACGGCAAGCCCTTCTCTAATGCTATTAAACGTAGTATTGGTTTTGTTACTCAAGATGATGCTCTTTACCCCAACTTGACGGTGACTGAAACATTAGTATTCACTGCCCTCCTTAGGTTGCCTAATAGTTTAACCAAAGAAGAGAAAGTCATGCATGCAGAGGCTGTTATCACTCAACTTGGTTTAGTTAAGTGCAAGAATAACATAATTGGAGGTCCATTCTTGAGAGGGGTTTCAGGGGGTGAGCGGAAGAGGGTTAGTATAGGTCAAGAACTACTTATAAACCCTAGCTTGCTTTTCTTGGATGAACCAACTTCAGGTCTTGATTCCACTACAGCTCAAAGGATTGTGTCTGCAGTTTGGGACCACGCGAAAGGAGGAAGAGTGATTGTGATGACTATACATCAGCCTTCAAGTAAGCTGTTTTACATGTTTGATAAGGTTTTATTGCTATCCGAAGGAAACCCTTTGTACTTTGGGAGAGGATCAGAAGTTATGGATTACTTTTCTACCATTGGCTATACTCCTTCAGTTGCAATGAATCCTTCAGAGTTTCTTTTGGATCTGGCAAATGGTATGTGCATTATTAGTTTTTTAAATTACTCCATGCTAAAGTCCTCGTTTCGAGTGTTGACTTGCAGCTGAGTGGACCTAAATGACCAGGTCTTACTGCCAATCACTGAAAAACATTCCCTCCAGAGAAACAATTATGAAACCACTGTTGATATTTCTTTTCATTTTTCACCTTGTTTTGCCAAAGAAACTGCTAATATTGTTTCCTTTTTTTTTTCTTTAACTCAACTTAAGTTTGATTGGCCTAATGTTCTTTTTTCTAAATTTATACAAGATACAACAATCAGATGTTATATTTGTTTGCTCACGTGTTGTAGGTTTAGCATCATATAGTGATTCTCACAACAACCAAGCCAAGGTCAAGAAGATTCTACTTTGTGCCTATAAGAGCAATCTGGCCGACAAATTGAAGGCAGAGGTTGAAGCAATTGAGGATCATCGTCTTCAAGATGGAATGAATGAGAAGCAGTCTTCACAATGGCCTACAACTTGGTGGCAACAGTTCACAATCTTGCTTAGAAGAGGAATAAAAGAAAGGAGGCATGAGTCCTTTTCTGGACTAAGGATTTGCCAAGTCTTAATGGTAGCCCTCCTTGTAGGTTTAATATGGTGGCAAACTGATATTTCTCACTTGCAAGATCAGGTAAAATGACACTTAATCTCAGTCCCACAAATGTAAACCGGTACACCCAAAAAAAATAAAAAAAAATAAAAAACTTCCAACAGTAGGAGAGGGTCAACCAGTTACATAAAAGAAAAACTTGGTATTAGCAAGAACTTCCACAAATATTTGGTGGCACTATCAACATGCTATTATAAATATGCACCTGCTATTAATCTTTATCTTAGCATCAAGCATTAAATAGTTTTGAAACTTCCTTTGGAAGGCCTCATGTTTAAGGTCTTATATGCAGATTGGTCTCCTCTTCTTTATCTCTGGATTCTGGGCTTTTGTTCCTCTAAATCAAGCAACATTCACCTTCCCCAAAGAACGGAAGATGCTCACAAAAGAACTATCTTCAGGCACATATAGGCCATCATCGTATTTCATGTCAAGAATGATTAGTGATCTTCCAATGGAGCTTGCCCTTCCAACAGTATTTGTTACCATAACATACTGGATGGGAGGGCTTAAACCCGCACCAAAAAATTTTTTGCCCTCCCTATTTGTTATTTTATTCAATGTTCTAGTATCACAAGGCATGGGTCTTGCTCTTGGTGCGACGATAATGGATCAAAAATCTGCTGCCGTACTCGGACAGGTGATAATGCTATCCTTCCAACTATCTGCAGGATTCTTCATTCAACATGTCCCTTCCTTCATTGGATGGATTAAATACTTCTCCATTTGCTTCAACGCATTAAAGCTGTTGTTGGGATCTCAGTACAAGCCTAGTGACACATACCCTTGCGGTGAAGGTGTTTGTTCAGTTGGTGATTTTCATATGATAAAGACAGCGGGTCTTGATGGGCAAGTTCAATCTGCTATTACTTTAGCTGTTCTGCTTGTGGGTTTTAGGCTTCTTGCTTATCTTGCAATTATTAGGATTGGAAGGATTAGAAAATAGAAATTTATTAACCATAATAAAGGGCATCCTCTCTTGAATCGTTCTGAGTTACGTCTCACGTATTAGTTTCATGTGTACCAAGGAAGTGAATACTTCCTTGCTTGTTTGTATGAGAAAAAGTTTGGATATACATTAATAGTGTTTAAATTTCTACGTTTTATAATTTGCATCTGTCAAAATTTAAATTCATATGATTTTGAAGTTAATTTTTCGATTTTTGCTATTTTGGTATTTAGATATGGATTGTTTGTTGTATGCTTTTATATTTGATTTTGTCAATTTACCCCTCTTTTTTGCAAGTTTCCTTTATATATGTGGTATAATTACTCATTGACCCCCCTATTTTTTGTTATTAACCCCTTTACATTAAAAAAAATTAAGAGATTTGGGTAAAGAGGGAAAAATATTGGCTTCGGAAATAAAATTTCTAGACCCGCAGTTGATTATAGATTATCGAACTAGTTCAATCCAACCACTAAAATTGATTACCTAAGATCAAGATTTGTGTTTTATGTACTTTCATTATCATTTGCATGGTCGCTAGTAGCTATATGATGCACATTTAGCAAAATGGTATTCCTTTTGTTATGACTTTTGGTCGATTTGCAGACTATCAAACAATTAATATATACAATTGAATGCAATAAAAAATAGATACTGCCGAGAAAAATAAACGAGACGAAAGTATTAGCTGAATTTATTGGCATCTTTGGTTTAGGTATATGATTCAGTATGTGAATTTATATTGTTGGTTTGTTTCTTCGACAGACCTCTGACCATAATCTTTTTCAGGCAATTGATGAAGCTGAAGATGAGTGGAGCCAGCACAATGCAAAGAAGCTAATCGATACTAGTGAAAGGCGGCTGCGTAGTTCAATTCCCAAGGACTTCCCTTACTTCCATGTTGAGTTTGGTCTAGCTTTGGGCTTGATGTGATAAGTGGCATGCTATTGCTACCAGACGTGTGTTGACGATGAGCGGCAGTTTAGTACTAGCTTTGGGCTTGATGTGATAAGAGGCATGCTATTGCTACCAGACGTGTGTTGTCGCCGTAGGCATGAAACTGTGGAGGCACAAGAGCAGTCTGTTGCACATTTTGTACGTGAATGGGATCCTTTTGACTGGACGAAACAATTGACTAGATCTTCTTGAAATTTATAATAGAATTTTTCTCTCTTAGTTCTTACTTTGTGTTATACATCTCTTTGTATAAATTTTGATATATCTTATGCCAAAGATATATATGCCTAGCTTTTTATATTGTAACTAGCACTCTCAACAACAGTGAAACCTTCTGATGGCTCAAAATCCTCAAACCATCAGATTACTTGATTTAGTGTAAATGATCTCATTAAAAATGGTGTTATTAGTTTCTTTGTTGTGAATTTTTTTCTATTTCTATGAATAATTTAGGACTCAGAGGCTTGGTTGTTGTTGTTGTGGTTCTGTTTCTATGAATAGAATAGTAATTTGTGTTGTGCCTCTGGAACTCAGAAGCTATATTTTTCTGCACAGTTTATAGGAAATCTTTTGGATGGAAGAATTTTAAGTCATGCACTACTGATATAAAAAATATTAAACATTATTCTGTGGCTAACTTAATTAGTGTCCACAGTGAGTTTGAGATCATATATCATTGTTTTCACTAATTCAGTTTCAATTATACTCACTGCATTTCAATCCGGCCTTGAATCGATCGCTGAATTATGGGTGGTTGGCAGTATTTTTTTTCTTTCGATTTTAATTGTCTAGTGTCTGAAATTTATTGTTCCGACTAATTCGGATTTGTGCCAGACAGGCCGATAAAAGAGGCAAACATTCCGAATATTTAAAGAAACTCCGTATTCAAGGCTTAAATTCAAAACCTTTGTTAATTTCTATCTTAATGGGTGCAATAGTTTTAACATGTGAAATTTTATGTTGCTATTAAATATATATTTATAGTGGCTGAATTTGTTATATTTATATTGGTTTTGTATGTGAATTTTAAAAATTTTTGAAAAATTTTTACATCATTGAATTTGGAATCACTTTTTTTTCCAAACAAAATATTTATATCTATATATTTATATTTATATTGTCACCGCTGAATCATAAAGAATTCAATTCATATGTAGAAACATATAAATAATTAAATAGTAAAAGAAATATATTTTAAAAAATTATTCTACTTTGACTTGCCAATAATGTAAAATGTGTCATCAGTAAATATATTTTAAACAAATACTATAAATTAATTAAATATGGAATAGAGGAAAAAAATACACGAAGTATATTGTATTCTTTTTATTTTAATTAATAATTTTGAGATCATAAATATGTACTAATTTGAACATTTTAAAATTAAATTGTTAATTGATTTATTACATATAAAATTCATGTATTTCTCATGTTAAATAGATTAAAAACTTATACTACATGTTTTGTGAATTTACTGTATGTTGGAAGAAATTATATTTTTATGAATTTTAAAGTTCTATTTAGAAGTACTGAGAAAATTTGATCTATGTGTTTTTAGTATAAAATAAAAAGAAATAAAGTCAATTTTGTGAATTAAGTACTGTGGCTCAAAAAGTTAAATATAACATTTTTAATCTTTCTAACTAAATTTGATAGATCAAAATTAACTTAAATGTCAAATCTAACCTTTTTAATCTTTCCGACGAAGCCAAGTCAAATATTGATCTTTACTCCGTAAACTATATCCTTTTTATTAAAAAATGATTAAAGTATATTACTTCTTAAATTGTGATAATCACATTTCTTTATTTTTCTAATTGATTAAATAGGAAACAATTATCTTTTATTATTATTATTATTATTATTTCTTCGATGTAGAACGGAAATAGACGGCTCCACTGACTGACTGCTTGCCTGCACGAAAGAGACCTTACTGCCCCTCGATCATCATCACATAGCAGGCCTTAATTAATTTCTGTTAGATATTTAATGTTATTTTTAATTGGTAAAATGTCTAATATTATGAACAATAAAATGTTTTCAATGATTTATTTGAACAGACCGGATTATTTTATTTCACAGCAGAATTTGTGAATTCTAATACAATAATGCTACTTAACTCAGTTTGCGCTATCTCAAGAGGGGCTTTTTTTAATTTACCATTTATATTTATTTTTTTTAGTTTTCAATTGATTAAATGCTACATAATGTAAATACGTAATTATCATTTATCACATGGGAGGAATTTCATAATTAAATTTCAAATATAAGTTTTTTACTGATCCTTGAGCAACATTTATTGCACTTAGTTAGTTCCAATGCATATCACTTTTAGTTTCAATGACCATTTATTAAAGAATTAATTATTGACTAAATATTCAATTAATGTTTAATTGGCTTATAAACAAGGAGATTACAAAAGAAAAAGATGTAACATTAAAAATTAAATATACTTTAGATAATATCAGGATTTATACTTTAAAGAATTATATAGTTTTTACCTTAAAGAACTTATATATTCTTAACTACGATTTATACTTATAAAAAATATATATATGTGTTAGCTATGAAACTACAAACAAAATGAAAGTATGATTAATAAAAAAGACCTTTAAGATTATTTATCTTATGGATTTTTATTTAATTAAATTAGAGAAGTAATACGTACATAAATATCTTAATTTCAACTATATTATTCATATATGATTTATTTATTATTTTCTTTGGACCTCGAACTTATATTATAAATGTAATTTTTTCTTTGGCACTATAAAAAAACCAATGTTGAGTTTGAGAATACACATTTCTAGGGTCATGCTGAACTTTATCTTTCGTTAGTGGTTATAATCACTCTACGCTGCTTAACTCCTAATGTACGCCGCGCAGTACGAATAATAATTGTATTTAAGTCACTATCAGTCAAATTTTATTATGGTGTATTGTCACAAGAGCAGCTGGCAATCATAATTAGATTAAGATACAATATGTACGCAAATCACCTACGATATTAAATAATTAAAATAGGTCATAAATAGGAGAAAATATGGCTTTGTTCCAAAAAGTATTGATTTCACGTTACTCACTTGACTTGCCCCCTCAATAATGCATAAGATATTATGTGTCACTACACGTTAAAGTTTGCTCACCTATAAGCTCTTAGATTACAAATACATGATAAATTTAAGTTAATATGTGGAATCACGAGCGTAAAAATAACTACTAGAAGTTGGATATTGTCCCAAATCTCATTTGTTTGTCAAATGTCATTTAATTACCATAAGTGTTAGATGAAGCATCATTGAACACCTATGTGACTTAATTTGCCATAAACATTTAAGTAATCTAAAATTTACTAATTCTCGTTATAATTGCATTATTAATTATAAATCATATCATCGTACTCTTTCTTCATGAGTATAAACTTATTGAGTTTTAGAAGGAACAAACAACCTGTATAATACTTACCTAGTGGCCTACTTCTGAAAATGAACCTTCAACTCGTGTAAATGATTGAGATTAGAATTATATTATATTATGAATTATTAAAGTTCATTATATATTATGAAGTAAACTGAGAAAATATTGATCTTAGTGTTTTAAAACAATAGCTGTTGTAATAGTATATATAAAGAATATATATAAAAGCATTACGCACTAAAGATCAATATCAATATGATGTAATTGGGAGTAGACTCTATGGTGTGTATCTATAACACAAAAGTTATGGACAAAATAGTATTAACATATATATATGTAAAATCAGTCTTTAACATAACTGATATATTTATTGATTAGGAGAAAAAAAATCAATTTAAAACAAATTAAAATTAAAATCCAATTCTTAGGATTTAAAACATGTAAATATCTTTTAGTAAAGCCTATTATTCTTAACCTTTTTTTTTTTTAATTAATCTTTCACCACCAAGATCTGTTATAAATAAGGCTACAAGTCAAATGTACAAAGTTGAAATTCGGTGATTAAACTCTTAGAGTTCTAACACCTTACAAATTGATTGACTTTATTCCCACTATGTGCTTATGGGAGGAAAAATTATCAATTTAGATTTAGGTTTACAGTATTATCTTCTACTATTGTTCCTTTAATACCTTGTGATAAATCATCATTTATTTTTTCTAAATTGATTAAATAGGACATTATCTTTTATTATTAATTATTTATATTATTCCATTTGATCTTACTGATGTAAAGATATAACAAGGAAATAAAA